ATTCAGATTCATTTGATTAGCCATGTGCGGTATAAAAACTACATTGGAATACATTTGCAAAAAAGGTACTCTGTGTGCACCGACAGACTAAAGAGCACGATACAATGTAATATAATAATGTAATGTAATCTCATTTTAAATCAAGTATTATCCTTAATTTCATTCTAAGCACTGTGCCTTAAATGCACTTGCCAATGGTTGTATACAAAAATATCTAAAATACCAGGTCAACTACCCTTCTTTACCTTCCAAAAAGAACAGAAGGGAATAGCCCTTTTCCTGTTGAATAAAAGTATCCTTCACCAAAATAAATCCATAATAGAAAATATAAACAAAACAATATATTGTTGTAAATTTGTGTGATAAATCTTATTTTCTTACAGGATGTGACCTTGAATGTATACTTGGACAAGAGTGGTCTGAACAATCAGCGATTCAGCATTTTAAATAATGGTTTGCATACTTTGCAGCCGCTCCCCTCCTGCCCATCCATCTGGGATCCATCCTCAGCTTCCAATAGCAGGAGATCAGATGTGTCTCAGCTGAGTGTGACTGATCATTTGGTTTGTGGTTCAGCTTAATCTACACATTTTAGCCGATTGGTTCGAATCTAAGAATTTTTATATAATTATGAAACTTGAACATTTTTACCATTGGATGTTAGGAGCCTATAGTGTTACTAATATATTTGTTCACAAGGATCATATTGTTCCATTACTTTTTATATATACTGTATGTGTGGCCTCACTAAACACCAGACAGTTGGCAACTAAGATGTCCGTTTGTCTTTCTGCCGGTCAGATTCAAATGACTGGTCACCTATTCAGTGCGTGGCTCTTTTCAGGACAACCAGGGCATGACTTTTACAACTGGAGGACCCCCCCCCCCCCCCCCATCCCTGCCCCCATTCTCTTTCTCATTAGCACGAGCCAACAGCCCTCTGCACTATCCTCTTGTAGTCTCAGCCTGTGCCAGCACTTTGTCAGTTTGCCCTTACATCAGCGGAGAGGTGGGCAGTGGAGCAGCAGCTTGACCTCATTAGGAGCCAGAGCGGTCATCCAGGCGGGGACCGGACATGAATGGCCAGGTCAGCGGGCGACACGGGGCCCAGATGCCTCCATTGAGACGAGCTTAGTAGTGCTTTCACGGTACGGTTAGATTTGGATTAACTTAAAATCCTTATACTCAACATATATCCAATTTGGCTTTGGACTGCAATGAGCAAATGAAATATTAATAACAGCAACTGACCTAGAAAAGAGGATCCAGTTCTGGGAAGAGTTTAGAAGCATGTGGTTGCACAATTGGTGTTATAAAATGCTTAGCTCGTGCTTTATGCCGTCCTGAAGCAAGTTAAGTATTGTTTCATGTTTAATTTAGAACAATATTGAAAACGTTTCTTCTAGAAATGGTAAATGTAGTCAACACCATCATCTATGAGCAGTTGTTGTCTGAAAGCTGTCTCAGTGATCAATGTTTTAGAGCAAACAACCCTCCTCGCTGATGCAGGAGGGTCTATAACAGGGGTGTCCAAACATTTTAGAAAGAGGGCCACTATAGTTCAGCAAAATTGTCCAGGGGCCGACAACACACATTGACTGGGTTCGGGCTTTAAAATGAGTCATAACTTCTACGTATGGTTCATATTTGACAGGGGTGTTCAGTTATCTGAATGACAAATATTTTCTCACTCAAAATATACATAAAACAAACAAGGTCAAGGACTGGATTCCAGGGATCCTGAGCTTGACAATGATATATAACATGTTGGCAGAACAAAGATGACATTGTGAACTTGTGATTATGGTTACTTAGTGTTAGCAGCAGAGGGCCACAAAACATGACACAGAGGGCCGCAATTCTTGGGTTTCATTAAACTGGCCAGTAGGAGGCGAATGAGCAGAGGTGGGACAACTCAGTTTTGCTCCCATTGAAAACCATGTAAATCGTGTCTGTTTTGGAGTCAAAAGGCTCTCATCCTGTGCGGTGTACGGTTGTTGTAGCAGTCTTAATTGGGGACACTCAATTCTAAGGGAGTACTAAAAAATATTTCTCAAAAGAGTCTTGATTTTTGGCATTTTTGGAAAGAAAAGAAATTCCATCCATCCAATTTCTGGGTCGGGGGGGTTGACAGTCAGAGTCGCACCCAGTACACAGAGCACCAGCCCCTCACTGATCCTCCTGCAGGTGGTGAGTCCACAGGAGCTGAGATCTTTCAGCAGGGGGTTCAGACAAAGTGGGGTTAAGTGTCTTGCCCAAAGACACAACTACAGCAGTCATCAGTGGGAGTCGAGAAGTAGAAAAATTTCGGTACCTGAGCTTTAATGGCAAGAGCTCTGGTGTGTGTCGTCTGGTGCACACTGGGGTAGTCTTGCACAGTTTTTCCTATGTGGTTTTACTGCAAATGGCAAATAAATAAATGAATCTGAATTCAGTGAGTATTGGCTGCGCTTCTTGTGGAGACTTGGGGGAGACGTGGGAGAGGCATGGGGGAGAGACGGGGGAGACAGGCAAGACCCGCACGTGTGGTTCTGTACGCGCGTCTATGGTCCACGCTCGGTACATGACCACGCGTGTCTATGGTCCACGCTTGGTACATGACCACGCGCGTCTATGGTTTGTGCTTGGTACATGACCACGCGCGTCTATGATCCGTGCTTGGTACATGACCACGCGCGTCTATGATCCGTGCTCGGTACATGACCACGCGCGTCTATGATCCGTGCTCGGTACATGACCACGCGCGTCTATGATCCGTGCTCGGTACATGACCACGCGCCTTTACTGAGCTGCCAAAGCAGCCACACTTTCTCCCGGGGTCAGAACGGAGGATGTTATTGCACCACGCCCCACTATTTGAGAAGGACTGGTCCATGTGAAGTACACAAAAGCGCTCACTAACTCAAGTGATAGTACGCATTTCTGATATTTGTCGCGCATGTGTACCTGCGTACCACTTATGTGCACCCCGGGACTATATCTCCGTGTATAAACCCGGCAGACTGCATCGCCAGGGAACGTTGCGTCCTGTCCTACATTTTTTATTCACGCCACTGCCCTGACGTCATATGAAACAAGAATTGGCCCACGAGCCTGAGTTTGGACATGTCTAGTCTATAAGGACTATGACAATGATCCAGAACGCTCCACATTTAACAACATTTATTAAGAGTTATAGACATTGGTCTCTGCCCCTTATGGACCAATGTCTCTATGTGTTTGTTATCATTACATTTACTGTCTTTGAACTGTTTGATTCTCTGATCTGTGTTGGTGAATCGACAGCTGTAAAGTCCTCCGATATAATAACTGTTGTGATTTAGGGCTACACACCAAAAAATTGAATATAACAAACATTATGAAATACTTGTGTATATTTGGTGTAAACATGGATTTACATTCTTCCTACAAAAGTAAACCATTTTATTGAGAAAAAAACAATACTTTCGGTTCGAAGGACTTGACTTTTTGTTGTTTATTTTAACCATGCAACAACATTGTTCCCAGATTAAAAACAGCTCTGGACTTGTTTTTAGCCCCATCCACGCTGATTTTCAAAATTGTAAAAACTAACAAAACAAATTCCATCTCTCTAGTTTTGCATTGGGAGTTAGAGGCAGAAAGCATTATATATTTTATTATAATCGTTATATATATTTTGTACATAATATACACTCTAAAACATAAAATATCAATTTAAATAGTCTCATTATATTTTTCAATGTCCAAAAGTAATGCATACACTGCTGTGAACATGAGGATTTGTCATAGTTTGAAGACAGACATGTCGTAGGTTCAAATCCACCACAAGACCTACTTCACGAATCCCACTGATGACTGCTGTCGTTGTGTCCTTGGGCAAGACACTTAACCCCACTTTTCCCAAAGCCTCCGCTGGAAGATCTCAGCTCCTGTGGACTCACCACCTACAGGAGGATCAGTGTGGGGCTGGTGCTAAGTGTGCTGGGTGCAGCTCTAACTGCCACCCCCCAGACCCAGAAATGGATTAAGGGGAAGAAAATGGATGGATGGATGTCAAAACTTCCTGGGGATGAAAATAATTCTTCTATAAAGCCTGGAATTCAAGGGATCTATTTATTCTTGATTTTCCCTGATACAATGCTTCATACGCTTTTACAAGTTTCCTGCGGAAACTAACTTCAACCTGATCCACGAGTGACTCTGAAGGAAAGAAAACTGTCTTTTGCCGAGACTTGATCACAGGAGCAGAAAGGTTAACGAGAGCATCTGATTTGACTGCGCTGCCTTTACCCTGAGCTTGATTGAAGCTGTCGACGTGGATTCTAAATAAGAAAGAGAAGACACCTTTCATTCTCTGCTCTTTTTGAATGTGACTTTGGTGACGTCTGAGTTCCTATAAGTTTGTCTGTACAAGTTGCATCACAAAACTTAAAAAAAATTACGCTAACAAGAAAGGAACCCATTCTCTGAGTGCTGCAAGCTTACGTCCACGTTTTTATTGCCCGCAAGAATTTGTTGGACTAGTGGATTGGCAGGATAACACCGTGCAATATCTTTTACACATTGCTCTATAAAAACGTCAATAAAAAAAGCTTCTTATTTTACTTGACACCTTTTAAAACGGCCTTCTGAAAACAGCCAATGCCCCCTCCTCTCTTCCTCCCGGACAATGGCTCCATCCATCACCCTCCGTTCACGAGCAATATGGTGCTGTTTACATTTCCACACAATGAAATATCAGTTGTTAGTTTTTCTCTTTGGGTCTTCGAGTTTGCGTTGGACTAAATGGAATGAGAGTATAGTCCATCACATCTCACTATATTCCTGCTTCATCTTTGGGATTTATGGGCAACAAAACCCAGCCTTGCAGCATGGCTTTATACATTTATTTGTACCGGCTGTTTCTGAACAAATGGAAGCGTTTATGAGGAGTGACCCAAGGCCTCGCCGGTGATGGATGGCGTCAATCCTCCGCACATGTATGAGCTTACCGTTGGCGTCACGATATGTGCGGAAGGATGCGCGACAGACGCTCCAATCCACAACCAAGGTCTGTGCTTATATTAACATATAAATAGAACCGTGTGCAGCCGCCTCTCCCTGGCCATTCATTTCAAATCTTTTAGCCTCAACGCTCTGGCTGTGGGGCGGAGTGGAAGGCGGGTTCGAGAGCAGATGCATCAAAGCAAGACGGGAACAATCTCTTAAACTGATTAATTTTCAAAAGATTGGCAGAAGTACAGTATTTAATTCAATTCAGTTCATTTTTGTAGAGCCCTAAATCACAATAGTCATCTCGGAGGACTTCACAAAGCTGTTGATTCGCCAACACAGATCAGAGAATCAAACACTGGAAATGCAATGATAGAAAGCACAAATCAATGTCTATAAATGTTAATAAATGTCCAGAAATGTTGTTTAATGTTGAGTTCTAGGTAGCTCCCCTTGTTTTTGTTCCATCCGTGCTAATGCCATGAACTTCTGACTGTCCCCCTATTCTTCCCCTCAAACATGCAGGGTTAAGTTCAGATGAAGCAATTCAATTTTGCCGATTAGATTTTTTGGTCACAATCGATGCATCTACGTCTACGTCTTGGAAATGTAGTATGTATACCTCTTGTTTGCTGCCAATCATCAAGCTATCTGATGAATCAAATTAATCTCCAAACTCACACATGGAAAATTTTCACGCACAAAAAATAACGCTCAAAAGTTTGTCTTAATGCAGGTCTCTCTGAGATACACCAACATCTGGACGTCTACAGGTATTGGGGAGAGTTTGATATACTGTACATTGGTTTCTGACACCAGACCACTTGCTCGGTCATGATGGGTTCTGTCAGAGCATTTCAGCATTTACAGTCGGACGAAACTATCAAGACGATCTTCCGATTAATGCGTGTGACAAGTGTGGAAGGGAGGGTAAGGAAGAGGGGGAGGGTGACCTGCGGCGACAGAGGAGCAGCTTTGGGAGTGTGCTCCAAGGGGGAAGAGCTGCTGCTGCTGACCCTATGGCCACGTGACGCTGATCCCCTCCTCAAACACCAGAGCATCATCTTGTATGTATTTTGACACTATGGAAGAGCACTTTTACACTCAGTTCTGTGTGCATGGGTGCTTCGGCGTGCAGTGGGCAAGCTCCAGCTGCTACAACAGAGAGAAAAGAAAGTGAAGCAAAAACCACAGATGTTGAAGTGGCCAAAATGTTGGGTTTATTCTGCGCCGTGTATCGTGGCCTTAAATGTTCCCCAACTGTGAGAGAAGTGTCAAAACCCAATATGGGTCATTCTACAGTCTATTAAAGCCAACCCCAGACTAGAGTTAGATCTTTCACTCTGCAGAGAATGCTGAATAAATAATGCCTCTATAGTACCACTGTGAAGAAATTACAGATAGATAATAGACTTGCAATAAGAGTACATGAGTCATCAGAGTCCATGCTTCTCCAAGAGTTCATCCATTCACTTACTGCAAAGGCTCCTAAAACTAACTTAATTCAAATTGGGTTTTTTTAGAAGATAGGAAAAAGTCACAGAGAGTCATAAGAATAGATGGCGAAAAACATTAATCTCAAAGTGTTTCTGATCATTCTCTCAAAATGCAAGTACAGTCAGAGCTTGCTACTTTTGCTGCTGTATCGTCGCAACTCAGCTCCACTCCAAAACGGATGACTAAGCTAACATTAATGCGTCCCGTCAACAAGGTAAGAGCGCGGTAAGGCTTTCAGGCCACCCACTCCACTCGTGTCCTCACTCAATCCCCTACGTGGGCCATGCAGCGTGGAAGAAACAAACCACCAACCAAACACTGACAATGCCTGTGACGAGACGTGGGCCAAGCCGCAGCATAAAACCCAGATGTGGTGTTTTGAGAGGAGAGAGATCAGCCCACGCCATGTTTGTTCCAGACATGTCCCTGTGCGTCCAATTTCCTACAAGTGCTTATTTACAGGGACATTAATTAAAAGGTTCAGATAAAAAAACAAAAAAAAAACAGCTATGGGTTTGGGTTGATGTTTAAGCTACTGGTGAAATAGCAGTCAGGACTAAACATGGGGAGGCAGCATTTCAGATTTATGCAGCTAAAATATGGAACAGTCTCCCTGAAAATGTGAGACAGGCTTCTTCTCTGACAATGTTCAAATCCAGATTTAAATAGTTCTGTTTATCTGTGCATACAACTGAAGGATTATCTATTATGTTTACTTATTTTAATGTAGTGTGATATATTTATGTCCTTGAGTTGCCTTTTGTATGAATTTAGCTATAAAAATAAACATGCCTTGCCTTAAAAGTGGTTTTATACTTGGTCATTTCCAAAAGTTCACATGTGCTTGGTGGTCTGGCCTTTTTGCACCATGTATTGAGTGGGCAAATGAACGATTGTACCTCATTCTCCCTTAAAAGTAATAAAAAACATATTCGTGTTGGCTTGATTCATATTTGACAATATATTGAGGGACGCTATCAAGTATATAGAAAGTTGCGTAAAAACATTTGATATCTTTGGGGGTGCTTTGGTTATTCTAGGACAGGGGTCTCCAACCATTTTTACCCATAAAGCTACTTTCTCAGGACTAGACTGAGCAACCCCTTTAAACGTCTTGGGGAACAAACAAAAAATCTATTGAATGGTGAGAGCCTTGGATGGTACTGTTTCTATCAACAGCCATTATTTCTTATCTATTACACTTTCAGTTTTGATTTACAAACGTTGTGGACGTTTGACGACACAGATATAATGGATGACATTGATTATCTCAAATAGATTAAGATTAAGAGAACCTTTATGCGTCCCAGTAGTAGTAAGAGTAGTAGGAGCACACAGGGAGCACACAAAATATCCACAATATAGGTAGCTGCTATGTTTCTTAGCTAGCTGTAAATGCTTCTATATAAATATATCGATAAGTAGATAAAGTAGGAGCATGGTATGTCTTCTTTAACGGCTGAATCCCCTTTCAGTGCCTACAGCTGTCTCTCCAGCCTCCATGGACCAGACTGCTTTAGCCAGACACCAGCTGTAAATGCATAGCTGCTACTGTCCACTTCCATCAGTGTTCTCTGAGTCGACAACAATCTAATCATACATTACCCTTTTATTGAATGGGTTACTCAATGTAATAATAGAGTATTTTCTCGTCCAACTGGCTCGATCTTTTTTACTTTAATCTCTTATGCCCTACACGATGGAAGAATCAAATTAAGTGGTAATAGAAAATGAACGTGTGCACCATCTTGTTCTGCCCTCCAAACTAGAAGCAGAGCAAACTATGTGTACAAAGTTGTTTTTGCTGCGTACTTCATTATGTCCCGGCGGATTGCATAAACCTAATCTACTGCCTCTAAGTAAGGAGCAAAACACACCTCGTAGCTCTGGCTTTCGTCTCTGCACGATTTTTAATAAATGTGTTCAGTGACATTTGTTATGAGTCCTATTCAAAACTCCTTATTAATAATTAACAGTGGTTTCAAATTGAGTTCTGCAGCATAGCAACAGCCTCTCGTGGACTCGTGGGGCTTCCATAATTTCTGAGCCAATCAATATCCTCTCAGCGGTGGAGCAAGCGTGCAGCCCATTCCGCACAGCTGCCATCCCCCACCGGCCGCAGTCGTGGCACAAAAGGTGACACAAAAGCCTTTTCAGAGCAACTAGAGCAAAGATACAGGGCTATAGGAACATTTTACTGCAATCTGGCAGATTAGCTGTAGACGTCAAAGAGGTGTCACAAGACTATGATTTCTGTTCCCCATTAGTCCATTTCAAAATGAAGCAAAAGGAATAATACGTAATTATACAATTAAATTAAATGTCAGAACATTCTTCCCAAACCTGAAAGGGAATCATGAAAGGCCAGCGAAGCACCTGCACGCACATAACTACACACACACACGTACGAACACACATCCAAGCCAAACTTACAGCCGCCCACTGTGGCACATGGTGTTTATAAATGTCTCCCATCATAGAACTAATAAGGCCCTGTCCTGCTTAGCTTCTGAGATATGACAGGGTGAGACTTTCACCTGCAGGTGGCGCCACCACAGGGAAGTGACTTCACTAAGTGACAAGTCATGGCTGTGGAGAGGTAACAATCTCAGCATTCATGGGTTTTTGTTACCATTAAAAACATCCATCCATCCATTTTCTTCCGCTTCATCCGTTGCCGGGTCGCCGGGGAAGCAGAGACATCCAGACTTCCCTATCCACACACAGTTCCTCCAGCTCCTCCGGGGGGACGAGCCAGTAAAAACATATTTAACTAAATGTACAAGTTTTACATCAGATTTAAGTACATTACAAACAATGAAATAGCATCTCCATGGCAACAGGCAGGTCGCATACACCAGAAAAGTTGTGCAATATACCTTTCTATGCTACAATATTTTGTAATTTACCTTCTTCTTGTCCTGCTTTCACTCGAGCAGCAATAGAGACTTGTTAGATAATGCACTTAAATTAATTCCATGGTGACTTCATTTGAGAAAGGGTAATAAGCGCCAGAACCGTATTAAAATGCAAATGAGTGGTTTGAATTGGATTAATTGTATTTTGTCGTCAGACAATATGACAAGAATACGGTTTTCCTCCTGCAGACAGAGCCACGTTCGCTCCTGTCCTCTGACTATAGGGCTGCGCACGGTTCTTGGTATTTGTAAAAAAGTCAGGATTCTTTGATATCTAAATCTAATCTATGTTGTTGTTTCTGCACATACTTCTCTAATTTGTCCATGTTTCGCCAATAGAACAAGCCATATCCCATATGAAGCTAAGCAGGACACATACCGGTTGCCTCCGTCCTGTCAGTGTGCCCCAGTGCATCCGTGGCTACAGTAGTTTGACACCAGTGTGTTTGGACTGAATGAATAATGACATGTGAAGCATCTCTGAGTGTCCTAAAAGGCACAGTATAAAACTAATGCATTATTATTATCAGGTAGTAGTGTAGTTGCTTCTGCTTTTTCTATTTTAGATAAAACAATACATGTTATTGTTCAATTGACAAATGTTAGTTTACCATAATCATTATAATATGAGTTTACTTCTTCTGAGTTTCATCTTAAGTGTGATTGATCTGAGATGAGTTTTAAATATTGATGCGAGATTTCATGTTCCCCTCCATCAGTGGGAACAAAATGTACCATGTTTTTATAATTATGGCCACTTCCAGCTCGGCACCAGGAGCTGTCAGAAGTGCCGGTCCCATGTCGGAGCAGAGCAGGGAGCTTTCCGGTTCCACATGGTCATATATAGGATTACATTCCCAGCTCTGCGTGAGTTTGAGGGGATTTAGTAATTGCGCATATAGTCACTTTCACTTGACAGGAAAGAAGGAAGAAGTCAATTACTGAAGTAGATTAGGATTTTGTTGGAGGGGGTGGGGTTATATAATTGTATCTAGCATGGCCTCATAGACATTTGTACATACAGTTGGAAGCTGAAGTTTACTTACACACTTCCAAACTTGAACCAAAAGCACTGAAGAAAACAAGGCGTTGAAGAGGGCAAGAAGGCCCACAAACCTGAGCAGCTGTGTCAGGAAGAGTGGGCCAAAATTCCAGTAATTTATTGTCAAAAGCTGGTGGGAGGCTATGTTTGGCTCTAAGACATTTTTACCAATTATTAAACATGTATATTTAAGCTTCTGACTCTTTGATCATTCAATGTCATGTGAATAAAAACGTACATACATCTTTGTTTCTTTCTTCTATATTTAAAACAACTTGACATTGATCAAATAATTCAATTTATTTTTGTTTAGACCTAAATCACAACAGTAGTTGTCAGAGGGTGCAAAAAGGGTGGTGGGTTTTAACGTTTGCTTTATGTGTTTTTAGACTTTTTTTGCATGTTGTGTGTTTTTATTGTTGGACTGACTTGCACCACCTGAAGCACCCCGGCCCCCCCGGGTGACTGGACAATCAACACACCTGCGCCTTGAGCATAAAAGCGGAGATGGGGAGGGGGAAGGCAGAAAGCAGACATGGTGAGGGGAGAGCCCTGTGGTCTGGAGAAGGATTTTTAGCCTCTGTTTTAGCTTTTATTGCAAGTTTTCAGCCTAGGTTTTATTGCTTTTTATTCTTTTACTTGTTTTAATCCAGTGGTTTCCTTTTAAACCCGGGTCCGAAGAACCTGTTTTTCCACTTCCGACATAGTTATCTCAGAGGACTTTACAAAGCTGTCGATTTGCCAACACAGATCAGAGAATCACACAATTCAAACACAAGAAATGCGATGATAAAAAACATATAGAGCCATTGACCCAAAGGCGCGAGACCAATGTCCATAAATGTCGTTGAATGTCCTGGATCTTCACCACTGTCCTGAGACCCTCCTGAGTTGGTAAAGAACAACTTTATTTATCTAGAATTGTGAAAAACTGGAATGAAAAGTATTCTTAAGGTGTATTCAAGCTTCAGATTTCATCGACTGAATATCCACAAATTCCTTGCTTGCAAATCTGTGCAGATCCAGCTGGTCCATGTCCCTGAACCGGAGCTTTACAACCCCCTGACCCTGCTCTCAGCGTGTGCACTGAAGTCCTCCTCCTCCTCCTCCTCCTCTAGAGCAGCGAGGGTGGAGTTCTGTCTGAGCCTGTGATCTCCTCTCTGTCCTCAACACGAGCCTCAAACAGGTGGAACATAACCGGACACTCTCCAGTGGCCAAACCTGCCGGTTTGAAATTCTTTTTTGTAAGTAGCCGCACTGGCAGTTCTAAGTTTCTGTACTAGGTATGAAAATGTGACATCGTTGTGTGAAGTCATGCTGATTGGTTCACAATATTGCTCTTTTTAAAGTTATTCACAAAACTCTAAATGCTGATTATTTAGAAAATGTAATAATTAAGAAAAACTAAATCTAGTGGGGCTTCTGTCCTCGTTCTACAGCCTGGATCTACAGATCGTCGTCCCTCCTTCAAATGACCAGAGAGAGAGTGAGTGACTAGAGAGAGAGCGAATGACCAGAGAGAGAGAGTGACCAGAGAGAGAGTGAGTGACCAGAGAGAGAGTGAGTGACCAGAGAGAGAGTGAGTGACCAGAGAGAGAGCGAATGACCAGAAAGAGAGAGCGAGTGACCAGAGAGAGCGAGTGACCAGAGAGAGAGCGAGTGACCAGAGAGAGAGCGAATGACCAGAGAGAGAGAGAGTGACCAGAGAGAGAGAGAGTGACCAGAGAGAGAGAGTGACCAGAGAGAGAGCGAATGACCAGAGAGAGAGAGAGTGACCAGAGAGAGAGAGAGTGACCAGAGAGAGAGAGAGTGACCAGAGAGAGAGCGAATGACCAGAGAGTGAGCGAGTGACCAGAGAGAGAGAGAGTGACCAGAAAGAGAGAGCGAATGACCAGAGAGAGAGCGAATGACCAGAGAGTGAGCGAGTGACCAGAGAGAGAGAGAGTGACCAGAGAGAGAGCGAGTGACCAGAGAGAGAGCGAATGACCAGAGAGAGAGAGAGTGACCAGAAAGAGAGAGCGAATGACCAGAGAGAGAGCGAATGACCAGAGAGTGAGCGAGTGACCAGAGAGAGAGAGAGTGACCAGAGAGAGAGCGAGTGACCAGAGAGAGAGAGAGTGACCAGAGAGAGAGCGAATGACCAGAGAGCGAGCGAGTGACCAGAGAGAGAGCGAGTGACCAGAGAGAGAGCGAATGACCAGAGAGAGAGCGAGTGACCAGAGAGAGACCGAGTGACCAGAGAGAGAGCGAATGACCAGAGAGAGAGCGAAGGACCAGAAAGAGAGCGAATGACCAGAGAGAGAGCGAGTGACCAGAAAGAGAGAGCGAATGACCAGAGAGAGAGCGAATGACCAGAGAGAGAGCGAATGACCAGAGAGAGAGCGAAGGACCAGAAAGAGAGCGAATGACCAGAGAGAGAGCGAGTGACCAGAAAGAGAGAGCGAATGACCAGAGAGAGAGCGAGTGACCAGAGAGAGAGCGAGTGACCAGAGAGAGAGCGAATGACCAGAGAGAGAGCGAGTGACCAGAGAGAGAGCGAATGACCAGAGAGAGAGAGAGTGACCAGAGAGAGAGCGAGTGACCAGAGAGAGAGCGAATGACCAGAGAGAGAGCGAGTGACCAGAGAGAGAGAGAGTGACCAGAGAGAGAGCGAATGACCAGAGAGAGAGCGAGTGACCAGAAAGAGAGAGCGAATGACCAGAGAGAGAGCGAGTGACCAGAAAGAGAGAGCGAATGACCAGAGAGAGAGCGATTGACCAGAGAGAGAGAGCGAATGACCAGAGAGAGAGCGAGTGACCAGAGAGAGAGCGAGTGACCAGAGAGAGAGAGCGAATGACCAGAGAGAGAGCGATTGACCAGAGAGAGAGCGAATGACCAGAGAGTGAGCGAGTGACCAGAGAGAGAGCGAATGACCAGAGAGAGAGCGAGTGACCAGAGAGAGAGCGAATGACCAGAGAGAGAGCGAATGACCAGAGAGAGAGCGAGTGACAAGAGAGAGAGCGAGTGACCAGAGAGAGAGCGAATGACCAGAGAGAGAGCGAGTGACCAGAGAGAGAGCAAATGACAAGAGAGAGAGCGAATTACCAGAGAGAAAGCGAGTGACCAGAGAGAGAGCGAGTGACCAGAGAGAGAGCGAATGACCAGAGAGAGAGCGAATGACCAGAGAGAGAGCGAATGACCAGAAAGAGAGCGAGTGACCAGAGAGAGAGCGAGTGACCAGAGAGAGAGCGAATTACCAGAGAGAGAGCGAGTGACCAGAGAAAGAGCGAGTGACCAGAGAGAGAGCGAGTGACCAGAGAGAGAGCGAATGACCAGATAAAGAGAGAGCGACCAGAGAGAGAGAGAGCGACCAGAGAGAGAGCGAGCGACCAGATAAAGAGAGAGCGACCAGAGAGAGAGAGAGCGACCAGAGAGAGAGCGAATGACCAGATAAAGAGAGAGCGACCAGAGAGAGAGAGAGCGACCAGAGAGAGAGCGAGCGACCAGAGAGAGAGCAAATGACCAGAGAGAGAGCGAGTGACCAGAGAGAGAGAGAGTGACCAGAGAGAGAGCGAATGACCAGAGAGAGAGCGAGTGACCAGAGAGAGAGCGAATTAACAGAGAGAGAGCGAGTGACCAGAGAGAGAGCGAGTGACCAGAGAGAGAGCGAATGACCAGAGAAAGAGAGAGCGACCAGAGAGAGAGAGAGCGACCAGAGAGAGAGCGAGTGACCAGAGAGAGAGCGAGTGACCAGAGAGAGAGCGAGTGACCAGAGAGAGAGCGAATGACCAGAGAAAGAGAGAGCGACCAGAGAGAGAGAGAGCGACCAGAGAGAGAGCGAGTGACCAGAGAGAGAGAGAATGACCAGAGAGAGAGCGAGTGACCAGAGAGAGAGAGAGTGACCAGAGAGAGAGCGAGTGACCAGAGAGAGAGAGAGTGACCAGAGAGAGAGTGAGTGACCAGAGAGAGAGAGAGTGACCAGAGAGAGAGAAAGTGACCAGAGAGAGAGCGAATGACCAGACAGAGAGTGAGTGACCAGAGAGAGAGCGAATGACCAGAGAGAGAGCGAATGACCAGAGAGAGAGCGAGTGACCAGAGAGAGAGCGAGCGACCAGAGAGAGAGCGAATGACCAGAGAGAGAGAGAGTGACCAGAAAGAGAGAGAGTGACCAGAGAGAGAGAGAGTGACCAGAGAGAGAGTGAGTGACCAGAGAGAGAGCGAGTGACCAGAGAGAGAGAGCGAATGACCAGAGAGAGAGCGAGCGACCAGAGAGAGAGCGAGCGACCAGAGAGAGAGCGAATGACCAGAGAGCGAGCGAATGACCAGAGAGAGAGCGAGTGACCAGAGAGAGAGCGAGTGACCAGAGAGAGAGCGAGTGACCAGAGAGAGAGCGAGTGACCAGAGAGAGACCGAGTGACCAGAGAGAGAGCGAGTGACCAGAGAGAGAGCGAGTGACCAGAGAGAGAGAGAGCGACCAGAGAGAGACCGAGTGACCAGAGACAGAGACCGAGTGTGACCAGAGAGAGAGCGAGTGACCAGAGACAGAGCGAGTGACCAGTGAGAGAGAGAGCGACCAGAGAGAGACCGAGTGACCAGAGACAGAGTGACCAGAGAGAGAGCGAGTGACCAGAGAGAGAGCGAGTGACCAGAGAGAGAGAGAGTGACCAGAGAGAGAGAGAGTGACCAGAAAGAGAGCGAGTGACCAGAGAGAGCGAGTGACCAGAGAGAGAGCGAGTGACCAGAGAGAGCGAATGACCAGAGAGAGAGCGAGCGACCAGAGAGAGACCGAGTGACCAGAGAGAGAGCGAATGACCAGAGAGAGAACGAGCGACCAGAGAGAGACCGAGTGACAAGAGAGAGAGCGAGTGACCAGAGAGAGAGCGAGTGACCAGAGAGAGAGTGACCAGAGAGAGAGCGAGTGACCAGAGAGAGAGTGACCAGAGAGAGAGAGCGAGTCAAAGTGGCCCTTCCAGAGGTTTATCACTTTTCTCCCAGTATAAGCTAGCACTACTTTATCCAGATATGTAGCTTTCGCGAAAATTCACTGTGGTAGACCCGGCTGCTGCTGCCAGATCTACAAGCCTGCTCATCCTCGACTCATCATACCAGCAACGCCCACATCTAATCAACCAATAACCACCAGGACAGCAAGTTAAAAGCCGGAGACTCCCCCTTTCCCGGCCTTCTGAAGTCTGCAAGCCTCCGCCGCCCCACCTCCTCCTTCTCTCATCGAAGCGTGCTTGCCTGCTGCCTCTGCCGTCACCAGTGCCTAGGCCCCGGGGGGGATTATGCGCGCGATCAAGCGCCGCGCTCAACAGCATCTCTCCCGGGCCTAGGGCGCCAAACATGCTTAATCCTAAACTTCTAACTGCATTTTCCCTCATGGGTCTCTCCAAGGTGAAATAATTATAGATCCATGGTACTGACTCGAAGATGAGCTGCAGACATATTGGCTGCATTGTAATGTTGTTTTTTTCCACTTTTCTCCTGTAACAAAAAACAAATATGGCATTCTCTGTGCGTAACCACGGCAGCAAACCACTCTAATTAAAGCCGCAGAGATTCTGTGAGATATCCAAAAGCTGCAATACCATTTCAACAGCGCTGCCACCTGAGCAAATACGATGAGGCAATCGTAAAGTGGCACATTGTGGTTCATCAGCAGCACATGGATGATATAAGCAGCTCTCTATCTGTGCGGAAATGTCACTCTCATAATAATCCAAAAATGTCAATAATCAGCATATGTATTCTGTTGTGGATGTGTACATGTGTTCGCCAAGTCGGTCCGCTCTGGTTTCAAATGCCATTTTAATATTGTGCATGCTGAAGAAATAACGGGTTTTGAGGATTTTTTTCAGGAGGTGGAGAGGTGGAGGAGGTCAAGTATCTCGGAGTCTTGTTCATGAGTGAGGGAAGGATAGAGCAGCGTCTGCAGTCAGAGCTGTATCAAACTATGATGAAGAGGGAGCAGCGTCTGTAGTCAGAGCTGTATCAGAATGTTGTGGTGAAGGGGGAGCAGCGTCTGCAGTCAGAGCTGTATCAGACTGTTGAGTTGAAAGACCCCCCTCACCTCTGGCAGAGTGGCTGGGCGCTCCCTCAGAGATAGAGTGAGAAGCTAAGTCATACGGGAGGAGCTCGGAGTAGAGCCCCTGCCTCACCATGTCAAGAGGAGCCAGTTGGGGCTCAGTCATCTGTTTGGGATGCCTCCTGGACGCCTCTCTGGGGAGGTGTTCTGGACCTGCCCCACCGGGAGGAGACCAGGGGAAGACCCAGGACACGTTGGAGGGACTATGTCTCTCAGCTGGCCTGGGAACACCAGAGCTGAATAAGTGTGTGCGTTAAGGGAAATCTAGGCATCTGGCAAGGCAAGGCAAGGCAAGTTTATTTGTATAGCACAATTCATACACAAGGCAACTCAAAGTGCTGAACAAGATAGCATTAAAATCATAAATAATCACAGAACATTAAAACGAAAGATAAAAATATAAAATCCCTCAGTTGTATGCACCGCTAAACAGCACCGTTTAGCTGTGCATACTATGCTTAGACTGTTGCCTCCACAACCTGCTAACGGATAAAGTGGAAGAAGATGGACTGTTGTGTTTTGGCTCCTTTGTGTGGTTTGTTTTATGCTTCAGGCTTTACTCCTATTGGGTGTGGTCTTCAAGCAGGCGAAGCTGTCTCCAGGTTTCCAATGTTCATATGTACATGAATATTGTTTAATGTCGAATGTCCTGGATCTTCACTGCAATCCAAAGTCTCCCAGCCTGAAGTCCACTCATCGTCAGATTGTTCCATCTTCCACCGTGGAGACTAGATATTTTTTCCTTCCCAAACGGTTATTGACTTTGTGACATACTTTTTGATTTTCATGTTTTCAGTTCCATTACCTGCTCGAACCCTCCCCGCAATGGATCAAGCCTTGCCCTACCTTTTCTTCAGCCAAGCCTGCTGCACTTTTTGTCTATTAAATATTTTGATTACCCTTTTTGGTGTCTGCTTCGAGGCCCACACATCTGCCCGAATACAGATGGTGTTTAGATGCGGAAAAGAACGCTGTAAATTGGATGCAATTCTGCAAAGTTTTCAGTATTGTCATGGTTACCTGTTTCTCCACTTTCATCCGCCCCGTTGTTATTGTGTATGTTTCTTGACTCACAGAGACACAAATGTCCATTATTTGTTCGGTCGTTAGAGGTGACACTTCTGTAACTTTTGATTGCTGTGAGCTTTAGTCATTCTCTGGCCAATTATTTCTGCTTTGGTTTGTCTGAGGCAACAGCAAGACATGAGTCATAGATGAAGCGGTATCAGAGCAGGTCAGTAACTAAGTAAGTATTTTTTGTAGTATTTGTATTAAAACACTGCCTTTTTTATTTCAAAGTAGAAACCAAGCCCGGGTGAACATAGCTAGCTTACATCGTACCCTCCGGAGAGACTTGTCTATGGGAGAGACCTGCGGGACCGCCTCGGATTATCTATGCTCGGACCACATTCGGACGCGGAACTAGCGGTAACCAGCCTGACTCTCGCCAGACCCATGTAGTTCGCTGCAGAGATTACCAGATTACCAGAGAGAGAGCGTACGACCAGAGAGAGACCGAGTGAACAGAGAGAGTGAATGACCAGAGAGAGAGCGAATGACCAGAAAGAGAGCGAGCGACCAGAGAGAGAGCGAATGACAAGAGAGAGAGCGAATGACCAGAGAGAGAGCGAGCGACCAGAGAGAGAGCGAATGACCAGAGAGAGAGCGAGTGACCAGAGAGAGAGCGAGCGACCAGAGAGAGAACGAGTGACCAGAGAGAGAGCGAGTGACCAGAGAGAGCGAGTGACCAGAGAGAGAGCGAATTACCAGAGAGAGACCGAGTGAACAGAGAGAGTGAATGACCAGAGAGAGAGCGAATGACCAGAAAGAGAGCGAGCGACCAGAGAGAGACCGAGTGACAAGAGAGAGAGCGAGTGACCAGAGAGAGAGCGAGTGACCAGAGAGAGAGCGAGTGACCAGAGAGAGCGAGTGACCAGAGAGAGAGCGAATTACCAGAGAGAGACCGAGTGAACAGAGAGAGTGAATGACCAGAGAGAGAGCGAATGACCAGAGAGAGAGCGAGCGACCAGAGAGAGAGCGAATGACCAGAGAGAGAGCGAGTGACCAGAGAGAGAGCGAGCGACCAGAGAGAGAACGAGTGACCAGAGAGAGAGCGAGTGACCAGAGAGAGCGAGTGACCAGAGAGAGAGCGAATTACCAGAGAGAGACCGAGTGACCAGAGAGAGACCGAGTGACCGAGCCCGGGTGAACATAGCTAGCTTACATCGTACCCTCCGGAGAGACTTGTCTATGGGAGAGACCTGCGGGACCGCCTCGGATTATCTATGCTCGGACCACATTCGGACGCGGAACTAGCGGTAACCAGCCTGACTCTCGCCAGACCCATGTAGTTCGCTGCAGAGATTACCAGATTACCAGAGAGAGAGCGTACGACCAGAGAGAGACCGAGTGAACAGAGAGAGTGAATGACCAGAGAGAGAGCGAATGACCAGAAAGAGAGCGAGCGACCAGAGAGAGACCGAGTGACAAGAGAGAGAGCGAATGACCAGAGAGAGAGCGAGCGACCAGAGAGAGAGCGAATGACCAGAGAGAGAGCGAGTGACCAGAGAGAGAGCGAGCGACCAGAGAGAGAACGAGTGACCAGAGAGAGAACGAGTGACCAGAGAGAGAGCGAGTGACCAGAGAGAGAGCGAGTGACCAGAGAGAGAGCGAGTGACCAGAGAGAGAGCGAGCGACCAGAGAGAGAACGAGTGACCAGAGAGAGAGCGAGTGACCAGAGAGAGAGTGACCAGAGAGAGAGCGAGTGACCAGAGAGAGAGTGACCAGAGAGAGAGAGCGAGTCAAAGTGGCCCTTCCAGAGGTTTATCACTTTTCTCCCAGTATAAGCTAGCACTACTCTATCCAGATATGTAGCTTTCGCGAAAATTCACTGTGGTAGACCCGGCTGCTGCTGCCAGATCTACAAGCCTGCTCATCCTCGACTCATCATACCAGCAACGCCCACATCTAATCAACCAATAACCACCAGGACAGCAAGTTAAAAGCCGGAGACTCCCCCTTTCCCGGCCTTCTGAAGTCTGCAAGCCTCCGCCGCCCCACCTCCTCCTTCTCTCATCGAAGCGTGCTTGCCTGCTGCCTCTGCCGTCACCAGTGCCTAGGCCCCGGGGGGGATTATGCGCGCGATCAAGCGCCGCGCTCAACAGCATCTCTCCCGGGCCTAGGGCGCCAAACATGCTTAATCCTAAACTTCTAACTGCATTTTCCCTCATGGGTCTCTCCAAGGTGAAATAATTATAGATCCAGTTCTTCATGTTTGAACTGGTGTAGTTACCGCTTAGCCTGGCTCTGCCAGACCCTTGTAGTTCCGCCATGCTCCACCAGAGGCGTTAGGCTGAACCACATGGGTCTGGTATCGACGCCATAGCGAACGCCTTCCCCAGAATATTTTTTAATCGACCAATCAGGATTGCCGGTGTTACGCGGGGTTTGCACTGCCTTCTCAAGCTTCTCTCATGCAGCAGCGAGAGGAATCCAAGATGGCGGACGTAAAGTCCGCGAATATTTTTAAAAGAGTAAATACGAACGAATTAAGACACGGATGTCACTTTTAATGCAATTTGAGGAGAGATGTTGATGGTTCTATGTTGATATATGTGTGTTTTAAGAGTCAAATGTTCCTGTAAAGTTTGGTTGAAGCTCTGGTTCAGTGTTCCTGTTTACACACTATACAGCAGGGTAGCCAGGTTTGGTGGTTCCCGCATATTTTTTTCCAAGAGACTTGTAGGTATTAAATAAACAGAAAGACAATAAACAAAATCATGATAGCCCAAGTTGATTACATTACTGCCTTCTGAAATCCAACCACTATGGCTCAGTACCAGACTCATGTGTGAAGTGCAGCGAACTACATGGGTCTGGCGAGAGTCAGGCTGGTTACCGCTAGTTCCGCGTCCGAATGTAGTCCGAGCATTTTTTCGCTTTAGTTTCTTCTTCTATTCCTCACTGTTGTGTTGTTTGGGGTGTTTTACTGTGAATGCAGTTAGAGCAAGAGGATTTATAGCCAATTCTGCTAACATGCTACTGTGTTTAGCAGCGCTGTAGAGGCTAGCGGACACAGCCTTGTTCTGTGATTGGAGGAGAGTGGGTGTCACGCTAAGTTTCTGCTCAGTACTTTTTACGGCCTGAATTACAAGCTGAATCAATGAGCTCAAGTATTAAATTAAATTACGGATTATAATACAACTTGTATGTAGTAATGAGCATTTTTATGAACTCATTAAAAGGTGTAGCATCTTTAAAGGGCAACTAAACACCTGTGCCCAGTCTGACTCCGCCCACATAAACATTTGATAGTGTTCTCTAAAAAGGGCATTGACGATTTCATCTAATCTGCAGCAAAATGTCCAAAACATGACCAGGACTAGTAGAGAGCACAATAGGAAAAATATTTATTCAGTTTTTGAGTTAAAAAAAAGTTTATTTGGTGTTTAGTTGTCCTTTAAAACAAGATCATTTTGCTTTGTCCCATTGGCAAATCTTGTTTAACGCATTCAGAATGTGCTTGAATTAAGATACGTTTTGCCAAATTTGAGCCATTTTTGACGTATATTTCATCGCTATTGGCAGTGAGACAAATTCACACTCCAAACACGTCGATATCACCAAACGACAACATGTGCTACTTGTCTGCGCTGCTGGGTGTGTCCGCATCATTCATCCATTATCACTGGGGGTGGGGGTCATCGATGGGGGGAGGCTGCACAGGTGCTGGTCTGACAGCGTCCCACGATCAATGATGGCGTCTGTACATATTTCATGACGGATGCAGACCTCGCCCAGTCCCCAAATCTCCCCAATTTACAGCCTGATCCCTTGGCCTCTACCGTCACACCCCTCCAATCCTCCCCCCCTCCCGGGCCGTACATGAAAGCCGTGGTGGAGTCGTTAGTGGGATGAGTGCGTCTCTTTGACCGTGGAGGTAGGGTGCCACAGCAGGGGGGCAGATGGGTGGGAGGGGCGCACCAGGGACTCCTCGTTTGTCTTTGTCCGATGCACACGCGCGGTAGACGGGTGCTAGAGGCGTCCCGCTTTGAACCAGCAGGGGTGTAAAGCCAGTCTGCAGAGAAGACTTATATATTATCTATTCATAACACGGATAGAAAGATAGAAAGATAGACAGACAGACAAATAGATAGATATTCAAATTCAGGTTTCCAGTAGCAAACACACATCCATCTATCCATACAAAAAATGTATAAATAAGTAATAATGTCCGAATGTTTGTCATTTTTAGTCACAGCAGCAGAGATGGTAGATGTATGATTTTTTATCATTTTTTAAATCGAAATTAGCATTCCTCCAACAGATTTTACGCTTGATCTGCTTGGTTTGGGGCCGTGGATCCTGTCTGCTCTGGTCTGGATCAGTGAAAAACCATGAACATTGTACTGCAGTAACATTTAGAGCTAGAAAAGAAATTATAATTGTAAAACACAAAACAGCATTAGGTAACAGTAAGAAAATAAGATCAGTACCAGAATGTACAGTGAGACAAAAAAGTGTTTAGTCAGCCATCAATTGTGCATGTTCTCCCACTTAAAAAGATGAGGGAGGCCTGTAATCTTCATCATAAGTAAACCCCAACTACAACAAGACAGAATAAGAAAAAAAAAAATCACATTGTCTGATTTTTAAATAACTTATTTGCAAATTATGGTGGAAAATAAGTATTTGGGTCAATAACAAATAACAGTTCATCTCGATACTTTGTTTAATACCCTTTGTTGGCAATGACAGAGCTCAAACGTCACATCACAGCATCTGCATGGAGGAATGGGCCAAAATACCAGCAACTGTGTGTGAAAACCTCGTCATAGCCGACAAAGGTTATATAACAAAGTAATGAGATTAACTTTTGTTTTTGACCAAATTCTTATTAATCACCATCTTTGGCAAATGAATTCTTAAAATATGTGATTTTCTGGATTTTTTGTTTTCTCATTCTGTCTCTCATAGCTCAGGTAAACCCATTGCCATATAGTCCTATGATGGGAACCTGAACCCAGCCTCCGCAAAGTCTTTTTGAGGTTTTCTTGTTGATGCAGAAGGGCCTTAGGACAGCAGATGATCCCCGACACACACACACACACACACACACACACACACACACACACACGCACACACACACACACACACACTCACACCCGTACACGCACTCGCACCACAGAGAGACAAGACAGGTTTCCTCATGCTCTGATCCCTTTTGATTGACAACCTGTTATTCACAAGAACATGTGCACATCCAGTGTTGGGATAGAGTGTTGTTTGTGTTGCGATGAAGGAGAACAAAGCCGCGTGAAACTCTGCTCTGTCAAAATGGTTTCATGTTGATGCCACATGTCTTGATCTCTCTAATAATACTACTAACAATGCATCAGTTTATATAGCACCTTTTTGGGACAGCGGTGATAAACTACTATTGTTGCTGTAGCTGCCCTGGGGCACACTGACCAAAGCCTTGACGTCTATGTGACGTCAAGGCTTGGTTGGCCCAGAATGTTCTTAAAATGAATGATAAAAAAAAAAAGTAATTCTCTTTGGGCCCAATCAGGTGGATGTGGGACCTCTGAGTGAACATGTGCGTCCCACAGTCACCAACCTTGGCGTCACCATAGACAGTGATTTTAAATTTGACAAGCAAGTCAACAGCGTTTTAAAATCGAGTTTTTAAGTCTTTTTTATCTTTTAATCTTTTTGAAGTTATGCACACTTTTATTTATTCACGTCTGGACCACGGTAACGCTCTCTACTCCAGTATTTCACACAAGGCACTTCACCGGCTACAGTTAGTCCAGAACTTTGCGGCACAGCTTTTAACAGGAACCAAAAAGCGCGACCACATCACTCCTGTCCTTGCGTCCTTGCACTGGCTTCCTGTTATTTTTAGAATTGATTTTAAGATGTTATTGTTTGTTTTTAAAGCTCTGAATGGGCTGGCCACTCCTTACATCTCGGACATCATCCAAATTTACTATCCGCCCCGTGCGCCGATGTCCGAGGGCCAACTCCAGCTCATGGTACCTAAGACGAGACTTAAAACCCGGGGGGACAGGGCCTTCTCTGTGGCTGGACCAAAGCTCTGGAACGCTCTGCCCCCACACATCAAAACAGCTCCCTCGTTGGAATGCTTTAAGTCTCGTCTTAAGACCCACTTTTATTCTCTGGCTTTTAACAACGCGTGAGTCGTGTGGTCCTCTATATTTTTGTTGTGTTTTTTTTGGGTTTTTTTTATTTAAATGTGTGTATTTATTTGTTGCCATTTTGCATGTTGTACAGCACTTTGGAAAACGTGTGTTTATGATATGTGCTATATAAATAAAGTGGATTGGATTGGATTGAAGCCATCAGCCCCTCCCACCACCACCAACCATTCACACACACACCAGACTCATTCTAATGTCGGCAAAGTGTCTTGCCTAAGGACACAACAGCAGTTTGGCATTTTACAGCCGCAGCAGCACCACTGTGGCATCAGGTATTCCCAGAGGTTAAGTGTCTTGCCAAGGACACAAGGACAGCAGACAGTGGGAGTCGATGGTGAAAGCCTTGAGGTGGGCTCAAACCCATAAGCTTCTGGCTCAAAGGCCAATGCTCTACCAACTGAGCTACTGTCGTGTGTACGTGTGAGAAGGGTTCGCGCCGCATAATGCTTCGTCCAACCCCGTTTCTAATTGCATTTCTGTTTAAATTGTATCCTGTTTGTTTTCTTTTCCCTGAGGTATCCATTCGTAACATGTTGCACAATCGAATAAATGTAAAATATGTGACTAGACTTCAATCACGCTTCCCGCATCCAACAGACTGTCATCACTCGTCCATCTTTCCCCCAGTCTCTCGTGACTTAGTCGGAGACCTTTTCTTCTCTTGGCTTGCTTGGTGGTTTGCTTTTATTGTTTGCCATGGAATCAGCTAGCAAACACTTGTCACAATTGTCTTTTTTTAAATACTCAAAGGAGCGACAGAGACCGACAATTCCAAAATCCTCATCCCCAATCGGCGTCATATGTTTCCGTTCTGACTGGATAGAAATGCAATCGAAAGAAGAGCTTTTGGTTTACATAACATTTCACACGTACTTCCAGTCGTGCTTAAAGTGTCCAGTAATAACACAGGATGATTGAGCATAATGATAACAGACGACTCGTGGGAGCCGCAAAGAAAATACACTCCTTGCATTTGCACTTTCGAAGAATCTGGGTCGCATTGTTTTGTAATTACCCTCTGTTAACTTCAGATTCAGTTTATTTGCCATTTGTAGTAAAGCCACATCTGCTAAAGTCCCCAGTTTGCAGCAGACACAAATATATATATATATAAAAGTACAAGAAACTATGTCAATGGGAAATCAATTAACAAAAACAGTTTCAACACAAGTGCGGGATCATTAAAGTGCTGTGTTGAGACTGATAACAACTTGTGGAAAGAAGCTGTTAGCATGTTAGCATGTCCTGCATCTCAGCGAACGATATCTTCTGCCAGCGGGAAGAAGCTGGAACATGGCTTTTGTAGAGGAAGACTCATTGATTATTCTAAGACAGTGGTGGGCAAACCCCGGCCTGTAGATGCTTCTATCAGGCCCCTGACCCCTCCTCAATTTATATAGATTAAGATTAAGATCAAGAGAGGTTAGGATAGGATTTATTCATCCCACAGTGGGGTAATTTCAGTTTAAACATCATACAATCCCCCTCTGTGCTGTGTGCAGAGCTATTTTTTTTCATATAAACCATACATTTATGTTTTAAAATGAAGCCTGAGAAAAACATTGAAATATCAGACGGCTGTCGGGATCCGGACCTAATTTCCAATGTGGCCTTCAGGAGGAAAAGTTTGCCCATGTCTGTTCTAAGACGTCGAAGGCTATCAAAGTACGCTGAAAATAATGGGAAATTAGTTTATTGTTCAGGACTTGTTTTTTTTCTTTGAAGGAAGTTTGTTTTTGTCTCTGAGCTGTTGACAAATGTTTTAGCTTGAAACGACTGACAGGGCCATACACAAATATTGGATCATCCATTTCATCATTAAATATAATAAGATCCACTGTGTTTGGTCTTGGTTCAACAGGTTTCATGCATAATTTTGATATGTTTCAATAAACATTGAACCTGTCCGGCCCTCGGCTGACATGGTTTCGAGGCGCCTCCTTGGTTTGATAGCTTTGAGTGGATAGCATAGACTGTAGTGGATAGGTGCTAACTATCGATAGCAAAAATGATACATCTATTTACATTGTCAGGGTTATTTATTGCAGCAGATCTTCTGTCCGACATATAATGACATTTGTTTTTTACTTTGTCCCAACATCAGCTCCTCCAATAGCTCAGCGTTGTGAAGCTCAGAACCGCTGGATTCCAGCCATCTATTGTATCTGTGTATAGAGACATTTGTTTTTTACCATCTCCCAAAAAAACGACAGATTAAATTGGTTGTAAAAAGTGTCGAACACTTTGTGTTTGTTTTATTCCTGTACTTATAATCTTGTTTTATGTATGTACTTGTCTTGTGCACTCTGGGGACTCTTGCACATGTATTCCAATGTGGTTTTACTGCAAATGGCAAATAAAATTAACCTGAATCAATAAAAAGTGATACAGATCAGATGGGTTGTATTGCGGGATTCATTCTATTTCCCTCCCTGTCCTTGAAATCCAGTTTGAAACAGAGAATTAAGGTCCACAAAGGAACATAAACCCAGTGGAATGAAGCGCGGTCTGTTCCACGTCTTTGCTTTGACTTCACGTTGTTTGCTTCCCGTCACGTTGCCTTCTCTCACACATGGATCTATGGCTCTAATCATGGAAACTCTATCAGGCCGTGTTAATACTGCGACATATACACTTAGCTGTTGACACACGGCTGCTCTGCGCAGAAAGAGGAGCATGTGTTTGGGGATTAAG